TCAATTGTGTAAAGCGCATTTGTACATCGTTTCTCAAAACATTTTCAATATTCTTTGCCGGCACCATAATTCAAATGCGTCACTTCTTCTGCAGTCTTTCTTACGCAGTGTTCAACTTTCACAACCACACGCGACCTTGGAAAATATCATGGCTTCAGTCAGGTGCACCTTAGTCCTGAAAGTGACATCCTTGCTCTTGACACTTAAAGAGGTCTTGGGCAGCAGGTTCGCCCAACGCAGCGTGTGGTTCATCTCCTGACTGCTGCTGCCGGGAGCTTTGGTTGTGGATCTAAGCAAGATAAAATCTCTGACTTCAACCTTTTCTTTGCTTTTCATGACGTCACCTATCGGGCCAGTTGTGAGGATTTGGGTTTTCTTTACATCGAATTGTAATTCATACAAAGGCTGCACATCTTGATCTTCATAGGCAGCTGCTTCAAGTCCTCCTCACTTTCAGCAAACAAAGGTGTCATCTGCATATCGCAGATTGTTAATAAGCCTTCCTTCAATCCCGATGCTGTGTTCTTTTTCTTTTTAAAACAAATTATTTTTTTGTCCTTTTTGTTTGTTTTTGTTCTTTTGTTGTTGTTCTTTACAGCTTGGATAGTATGGAGAGAAGATACAACTCTGATTCACACCTCTCCTGATTTTTCACCATACAGTGCTCCCCTGTTCCATTCACACAGCTGCCTCTTCTCCGTTCACAGGTTCCTCGTGTACACTTAAGTGTTCCGGAAAGTGACCTCCCAAGGTCATCTCTAATTGATTGAGATCCACACAGTTGAACGCCTTTGTGTATTCAATAAGACACAAGTCAACATTTTTCTGGTATTCCCTGTGTTGATCCAAGATCCGTCTGATGTCAGCAATGATATCCCTTGTTCCACGATTTCTTCAGGACACAACTTGAATTTCTGGCAGCTCCTCATCAGTGAACTGTTACAATGTGATTTCTGTGTGTCCCATCTGGAGAAGTCCATATATATGTTGAATGATATTCAGCAAAATTTTACTTGCATGTGATATTAATCATATTACTTTATAATTTCCACATGCTGTGGGGTCACCTTTGTCTGGAATGGGTACAAATGTGGATCTCTTCCAATTGATTGGCAAAAGTAACTGTCTTCCAGATTTTGGGGGGGGGATAGACTAGTCAGTGCTTACAGAGCTTCATATTTAGTTGAAACATTTCAACTGATATCCCATCAATTCCTGGAGCCTTGTTTTGGGCCAGTGCCTTCAGGACCATTGGTTCTTGATCGTATGCTACCTCTTGAGATGGTTGACTATCGACATTTTGGTACCGCGACTCTGTGCTCCTTCCATCTTCCTTTGATGCTTCCTGCATGGTTCAATACTTTGCCCTTCGAATCTTATAATATTGAAACTCGAGACTGGACTATTTTCTTCACTTTTGTTCAGCTTGGCATATACTGAGTGTGTCCTTCCTCCTTGGTTTTCCAACTCCAGGTCTTTGCACATTTTATTCTAATACTTTGTCTTTGCAAGCCGCCCTTCGAGATTTTCTGTTCAGCATTTTGACATCATCGCTTCTTCCATTTGCTTTAGCTATTTAACGAGCGAGAGCAAGTTTCAGAGGCCCTTCTAACATCCGCTTTGATATTTTCTTTCTGTTCTGTTTTTGTTTTAATTGGGGGTTCTTACATCTCTTATCACAATGCATACATGTATCCATTTTGTCAAACACATCTTTAAATATGCTGTCTTCATCTTTTTCAAAAGATTTTCTTTCTACCTGAGCCAGTGGCATCAGCTCCTCATTTTTCCCCTCTCTCTCCCACTCTCCCTCCATCCCCATACACCCTTGATAATTTATAAATTATTCTCTCTTTTTTCCATGTTTTATGCCTACTACTGTGTCCTGTCTTTTTAATGATCGTTGGCTTTCTTCATGAATAATGTTCTCAATGTCCTCCCACAACTCTCCCAGTCTTCCATCACTAATGTTCAAACATCAACTCTGTTTTTGAGATGTTCTCAACAGTCAGCTGGAATCTACACACGGTTGCCTTTGAGCTCTTGTGAACTTGTTTAATTTTCTCCAACTTCAACCTGAACTTGCATGTGAGCAATTAATGGCCTGTTCCATCATCAGGCCTGGCCTTGGGTTGGCTGCTGATACTGAGCATCATCTCTTCCCAAAGATGTAGTCCATTGAATGTCTGTGTATAGTCACCGTTCCTGTTTTGGGGAAGAGGTGTTAACCTGCAGTGGTATGAATGGTTATCATAAGTTCCCAAACTTATTCGGCTTACTGCTTCCTTTTCAGAAACACGATTTATTCAGAGCCCCTGGCAATGAAAGACGTTTGACCATGAAAGTGCACAGTCCATAACCCGGGGTGAAGTGGAGGTGTCTGCTTTTGCAGCACCCCTGGATCACCCTAGCACCCACAGGGCTCAGCATCGCCTGCTTTGGGAAACACTGGGCTAAGTGCTGGGGGGTGATTTGAACTTGCCCAGAGATGCCATAGAAGGCAGTTCTGTCAATCTGCATCCAAAAGGCCGCAGTTGGGACAATCTCTGCGCACACAGAGTCACCACGAGTCAAAATCGGCTTGATAGCAACGAACAACAGCAATATCATTGGCCCGTAATAGCTACTGGGAAATTCCTTATGAAGTCCCGATGACTCAGTACATGACGAAATGCAGGAAGGAGTAGCTGAGTGGAGAAATTAGGGGACGGGAAGGATGCTCTGAGGGAGGCAATGAGTGGATGATGGAGGAAGGGAGGCAATAAACCAAGCATCCTCTCTTTGGTTTCAGGAGCCGGGGACCCGGAGCCCGACCTGCGGATCACACAGCCTCAGGAGTCCGTGTCTGTCACCACGGGAAGCAGCGTTGTGCTCAACTGCACGGTATTTGGCAGTGGTCCCCCAGGACCCATCAGATGGTTCCGGGGGACTGGTGTGAGCCGAGAGGCCACTTACAACTTTGAAGGCCTCTCTCACCCCAACGTGACAGCTGTCCGGGCCTCTGGCAATGACTACAGCATTCTCCTGAAAGGGGTTTCCACTGACAATGCAGGCACCTACTACTGTGTAAAGTTTCAGAAGACAAGCAACAGGCAGTACATGTCTGGCCAGGGCACCAGGCTAAAGGTGAAAGGTGAGACAGGAAATTCGGGGGCCTGAGCCATGGGTTGGGGGTGGGGGTGGGGAGGTGGGGAGAGGCTCACAGGGAACTTTTCACCAAACCCCACACAGGCTCATTCTTCTCAATCTCAAACCTTGGCTTAAGCTGTTCCCTCTGCCTGGAATGACTTCCCTTCTCCCTGGACCGTGCCTACTCATCCTTCAAGGTCCAGGGTAAATGGTCCCTCTCTAGGAAACCTTATCCTCCCGCAAGTGTTAGCCTCCCCCAACTCTGGGCTTCCACTGCACTTAGGATAAGCCACCAAGGAAGCAACAGACAAACATCTACTGGGTGCCTGTGGAGTGGCCAGCCCTGCGCTAGCTCCTTGATGGAGACGAGGAAAGAAGGGAAGCTCTGTCCCGAACCTGGGGATGTTTAATTAGCAAGTCTTAATAGTCCTTCGATGAATGGCAAGGTGGTCTTTCTAGCCCTCACCCCAACAGCAAGGGAAGACTCAACTGGGTGCCCCCAAATTCTAGGACAGAGGCTCAGGAAGTAACAGGCAGGCTTAAAAGGGGAGCCGTGTGAGAATGTGTCTCTCCCTTTGCAGCAAAACCCATTTCTTCCCAAGAGACAGACAGCTCTAATGCTTCTCCAGTCACGGAATCTTCAACAGGTGAGTGCACCTACTTCCAGGGAAGTTCATCAGCCCCTCACAGACAAGGTGGCCCATAGTCTTGACCTTGGGAAGGGAGCAGTCCCAGTCTTCCAGTGACTATACGCCACCAAAACAGTTTCCAGGTGTTGAGTAAGCCAGCTTCTAACATCCACGGGGGTCCATAGGAGCAATTGTGCGGTTATAATATAGAGAGATCATAGTAAAGTCATGGAAGATAGAAGAGAGAGTGAAATAAAGGAGTCAGACACATTTTATGGTAGCATGCTCAACTCAGGATGACCATAATCTCAGCAGTCAGGTCTGGGCAGAGTGGGAGGATGTGGAGGGAGGAGAGAGCATCTCTTCCTTATTTCTGACCAAGGCCTATATATATATAGGGGCATGATTACAGGTGACCACATATGTCACAGGAAGGGGATATACAAGATGGGCGGACCCTAGACTCAATGTGGCAGCCTAACTTTGGTCATCCTTGAGTGGACTTGACCTCCCTGGGCTCTCCTTCAGGGAGACAATCCACTATCCTTATCAGAAGGGAGTGGGCCCTACGTAGGGTGGGACAGACTGTACAGTCTGATTTCTCTAGAAGGCTGATAATCCTCAGGGAGAATAATCTCTGACCTGCTTTTGTTGACCTCCAAGTGTACAGTTGTTTACCAGGTATAGCAAGCAGCATTTTAGGTTTGGCATATATTTGGGGAAGATGACTTGGGAGAAATCTTTCTGTACCCCACACCCCAGCACCATGTCAACTACAGAACCAGAACCCAGAGAAGCATTTTAAAATTCAAAGAGGAAAGAATCTTCTAATGGCCAGCATCATGCAATTGTCCCATAGGCAGTTTTGCTTGAGAGGTAGTGAGCTCCCCATCATTGAGACTATAGAGATGTGCGATGTCTGGAATAACAGGGCTGAATTACATGGCTTGGCAGGGAGACCTTTCTAGCTACACGATGGATGGTTGGGTGGTTGGTTGGGTGGTTGGCTGGTTGGGTGGGTGGTTGGGTGGTTGGGTGGGTGGTTGGGTGGTTGGGTGGGTGGTTGGCTGGTTGGGTGGTTGCTTAACTCCTTGAGTCTCTGACGCTGCATTCCATAGACTTGGAAGCATTGCAGTCTGAGAGACATCCACACAGCTTTGTGTGTGGGCTCAATGAGATCGCTCGTGCCAAGAGCCCAGACGAGTGCCTGGTGCACGGGGTGAACCCTCGGGCATGGAGGGAGTCAGGAGAGCTTCTCTGACGCTCAGCCCTGTTTACATCACACTAGGGAGCCAGACTCGCTGGGTCCCATCACTTCTTGGATACCGACGGCCCTGGGCCTCTGTCCTCCATTGCAAAAGTTAGGCCTCTACTCCATGTAGGATTGGCATGAGGATCAGATGGCGTAACTGGGAAGAGGTTAGCTCCCAGTCAAACTTAATTTCATTTTAACCAGCGGTCAGCCGTGCTATCAAGATGATGGCAGGTACAGGTGGGACATTAGATACGTCTTAGCTGACCCAGGGCAGGGAGAATGAGGGGAGTCTTCATTCTCCTTTTCCAACCCAGAAGGATGTGGTCCTAGAAGTTATGCAGTATCTGGACCAGACTCCACCCATGGGACATCCCCAAGGAGCACCAAGCTAGGGGTGGTGGGTCCCACCTGAGCCCTCCCCTCTATTCCCCAGGCCTGCTGTCTACGGTCTTACTCGTGGTCCTGGGACTGAAGGCAGTGACCTTGGTTGCCCTCCTGCTGGCCCTGGCAGCCCGCCGAAGGAGCCCTTGATGAGCAGCCTTCAAGATCCCAGCTTCCACGGAGCTGTCCCTGGCACACCAAGCAGCAAGGGTCAGGGGTGAAGGGTCTGTCCTGTAGGGGTGTCTTCTGAGATGGACAGGAGCCAGGCTCTCCAACCACTTCTCTGCCTCCAATTCCAGACCTCAGATGCCCACCAGGCCCCATGATAAACTTCCAAAGCCCTGTGTCTGGCTGCAGCTCTCCTGGTGAAATTCCTTCTTGGCGTATCTGGCTCTCTGCTATCTGAGTGCACACGCCCTCCTTGTCCTTCAAGGCTCAGCCCACGTCGCTCCTCACTGCCCAGGCTCCTGCTGCAGCCTTTCGGGACCATCCTCCCCTTTCTCCGTCTCCTCAGATCTTCCCTGTCCTTCCAGACCCACCGAGAGTGGGGCCCTTCCCAGGAGGCTTCCCCGAGCATCTCTGAGCATGAACAGCGCACCCCCAGTGACCTTGATTGTCATCCTCTCTCCCCCTTCTGTGTGTTTTCCTCCCACATGTGTCCTGCAGGGGTGGCCCTAATAGTCAGAAAGTGGGTTTGGCAGCTATAACAAAGACCTGGCATAACGGTGGCTTGTGGCCACTGGGGAGTCCCTGTAGGTGATGAACTTTCTTAGCTACTCATCAAAACTTGGCAGTTTGAGTCAATATTACCCTCACATGATATTTGGCCCTGGTGGCATAGCGGTCAGCAGTTTGGAACCACCAGCTGCTCCTTGGGGGAAATAGGAGGCTCTCTACTCCCATAAAAAGAGTGTACAGTCTCGGAAACCCACAGGGGCAGTTCTAAGCTGTCCTATAGGGCCTCTCTGAGTCAGAACTGACTCCATGGCAGTGAGTTTGGTTTGGGTTTGTGGAGACGTGGTTTTTTTTTGGTTGGGGGGGGCGGGGGGTGCTACCGCCCTCTAGTGGGTGGAGGCAGGGATGCGGCTAACCAGCCTACAAGCCACAGCACAGCCCCACATGCACACATCAGAGAGGACGCACTGATCCACAATGTCAACGCAGTCCCTGGTTGTGTTAGTCTGAGTAGACTAGAGAAACAAACCCATGGACACACATATGTGTATAAGAAAGAATTTTATATACAAGAGGAATTGAACATTAAGAAAACATCCCAACCCAGTCCAGTCCAAGGCCATAAGTCTGATATTAGCCCATATGTCTGATACCAATCTATAAAGTCCTCTTCAGACTCACAAAACACATGCAATGAAGCCAAATGCAGGACGATCACAAGCCAGTGGGTAGAAAGTCTTTGGGTCCGGGGGCTTTGTAAGCATCTCAGCGCCAGCAGGGGTCTCTCTGTGGCTTCTCCGGCTTCCGAGGTTTGGTTGCATCCATGTGACTTATCTTCTGAAATGTCTCCCAGGGAGTAGCAGAGAGAGAGAGGTGTCTTCCACCTCCAAGGAGGAAGTACCTGAGTTCCCAGAACTCTCAGGGGAAGACCACGCCCACACAGAAGTCTCATTGGCTATCTCCAGATAGACTCCACCCCTCCACTCTTAATCCTTAAATTTAATCCTTAAATTGACAATTGATTAGGCGACTACCACACTGGTATAGCATGCTTGGCTGCTAACAAAAAGGATGGAGGTTCGTGTCCACCCACAGGTGCCTTGGAAGAAAGATCTGGGGAGCTACTTCCGAAAAGTAGACCATTGAAAACCCAAGCGCGGAGGGCCATGAGGGAGAATCCACTCATCTGCACACGATGGGGGTAGCAAAGAGTCCGCGGTGATGAGGTTGAGAAGCCCTGGCCCCGGAGTCAGACGCCTATCTTCTAACCCTGAACCCCCCACTCCCTGGCTGCGAGCCTTTACCTAACTCATTTCACCTCCCAGGACATCCAGGGTAATAAGGAGCGCTTCTCAGTATCACCTCAGAATCGATTCAACCTGCCATTTTCCTGAGGGTCTGTTCTGTGCTGTGTGTACTGTGTCCACTCAACAGGTGCGACTTCCCTTCCCTCTCTCCATGCAAGCCTCTATTGGTGCCTGATAGTTGGGGGTTCATTTGAACATCATTGTTTATAACCAATAGAAAGCCCACTTGGAAGGAAAAAAAACAGGCCAAAGGGAATATTCATTTGGTCTGAGGATCAAAAAAATCATTGAATTATCAGCCATCAGAGAAGACTGCTGGGGTAGGCTCCCAGAAGAGGCAGGTCCTACAGCCTGGGGCCTGGAAATGTTAGCCTCATCTGTCACGAAAAGACTTTGTAGGTGTGATGAAGTCAAGGCTTTTGAGACGGGGAACTCTCCTAGAGGACCCTTGTGTCCTCAACATGTAGTGACACCTGTCTTTAGGAGAAAGATACAGAGGGAGAGTGAACACGTGGCTATGTGACCTCAGAGGCAGAGATTGGAGCGCTGTGGCCAGAAGCCAAGGAATGCTGGCAGCCTTCCATTTACCCTCCACCGGACACTGAAAGAGGCAAGGAACAGAATCTCTGCTAGAGATCACTGTCATGATCCCAATTCTACCTTACAAATCTGGCTAGACCAGAGGATGTACACTGGTACAGATAGGAACTGGGAACATCGGGAATCCAGGACAGATGATCCCTTCAGGACCAGTGCTAAGAGCAGCGATACCGGGAGGGTAGAGGGGAGGTGGGGTAGAAGGGGGAACTGATTACAAGGATCTACATATAACCTCCTCCCTAGAGGACGGACAACAAAAAGTGAGTGAAGGGAGATGTCGGACAGTGTAAGATATGACAAAATAATAATTTATAAATTATTAAGGGTACATGAGGGAAGGGGAAGTAGGGAGGGAGGGGAAAAATGAGGAGCTGATACCAAGGGCTTACATGGAGAGCAAATGTTTTGAGAATGATGAGGGTAATGAATGCATAAATGTGTTTGACACAATGGATGAATGTACGGATTGTGATAAGAGTTGCATGAGCCCCCAATAAAATTATTTTTTTAAATGCCGTGTTTGTAATGATTGGTCACAGTAGCCCCAAGAAACTAACATGGCAAGGAAGCATGGAACTGGGTCTCCCAAGGATGAGAGGTGGTTCCCCGCTCTGCCCTACCAGCCTCCCACCTGCAAGGCCCTATTTGACCCTGGTCCCTGCCTCCTTGATGACTTCAGCACCCCTCATCCTGACTCCACCCTGGCATCAGTCGGGCCTTGGCCACACCCACCTTCCTACGTCATTCTGATCTCTGCCTGGTGATTGCCTTTGAGAGGTCTCCCTCCATCACTCCATCCATCGTGCCCGTCCCATCCCGCTTCCTTCCTGAACGCAGGCCAAGCTTGGCGCACCGCATGGACTGCCACCGCAAAACGATTGTTATGTGTGCACCTGTGTGTGTAGGAATTGTGGGAGGGGAGCGGGGGGCGGGGTTAAGAGTAGTGAGTATGTGTGTGTATGTGAGTGTGGAGTTGGATGGGCTGAGTGTGAGTGGGGAGGGGGGTGTGCGTGTGCAGTGAGTGTGTGTTTACGTCCTTGGTGTGTATTAGTGGTCCCCACTAAATTTTGAGCCTCCCTGAGGGCAGGGATCTGACGCGTCACCACGTGGCCCCTTTTCAACAAGAGATTGAATGCTGGCTCTGTGCCAGGTACTCAGGATAAGGATAAGTGGGCTGAGGATAAGACAAAGGAGCCCAGCCTTCCCAGAGCATAGATCCAGCTGGAGAAGACAGGGAATGAACAGGTCAACAGAGATGGGACGTGCCCCAGGTCATGCACACCTAGGGCAATAATACTGCAGGTGAGGGTTAGCAGGCAGGTGATTTTGTTAAAGGTGCTCAGAAGAGGCCACACTGATAAAGGAATCGTTGAGCTGAGACTCAAAAGAAGGCAGGGAGGGAGCCCTGCAGGGGCCTGAAGGAAGAGCGTTCTAGATGCAAGAAACGTCACATGCAAAGTCCCCGAGAGGGCATGTGCTCGGCCGAGGGCAGGAATAGCAAGCTCCAAGTCCAAGTCTTAGCATCCGTTGAATAGATACAACTCAGAGAGACCCTCTCGACTGGGCAGCTTGACAGGGGCAGACAGCCTCACCTTTCTTCCTGGTCACCAGGAGCGCCAGGCCAACACCACGAGGAACCCTGAAAGCTTGGTGGCCCCCTCCCTCTGGACTGAGCATTTGGGGATCTCAGGGTCCAGGCCACCTCTCCTTGCCCAAACACATGCATTTTATGGAAATCTTGAAATTGGGTCTCGAGGGGAGGAGCTGACACCAAGGGCTCAATAGAAAGTAACTGTCTAGAAAAGAGTGATGGCAACATATGTACAAATACGCCTGATACAATTGATGTATGGATTATAATAAGCATTGTGATAGCCCTCAATAAAATGATTTTACAGAAGAAATTGAGTCTCATCCTGGTCAAGCCCCAAACCCCTCAGAGCTCAGGTGCCTCCTCTCTACGCTCAGATACCGACCTATCACCTGGAGGATATTGTATCTTTCAGTCACTCCCTCCTTCATTCATTCAACAGTGAAACCTCAGGGGTCTAACTCAATTTATTCCAGATTCATGTTCGAACACGGAAAAGTTTGAGAACAGAACATATTCCCATAAGAAATGATGGAAAACCAAATAATTGGTTCTGAGGCCCACACATTCCACTCATCCATTCGTTTTCCAGGACTTTAAGTCATGACAGAGGCTTCTAGTCTTCTTGCAGTTCACTGTTTGCATACGCCACTGCCATCGAGTTGATTCTGATTTATCCAAATTCACAACATCATTTCCACCTCCTTGACAGTCTGGGTTCTTTGTTCCGTGATTAGCAATTTCACACTTTTCGCTACATTAGCCACTTTCCCCCCGACCTCTTTATTAAAGGATTATTGGGGGGGGGGGGGCTCTTCCAGATCTTATAACAATCCACACATCTATTGGATCGAGCATATTTGTACATATGTTGCCATCATCATTTTCTAAACATTCGCTTTCCATTTGAACCCTTGGTATCAGCTCCTGGCTGCTTTAATCACTCCCCCCCCCCTCAAAAATGTTGATGATGTCGACTCAGCGGTGCTGTGTCCCGCCACCAGATCAGACAAGTGGCAGCCAATTCCGATGGCCCAGTGCTGGCTTTCTTTCAGCCTCTCGTGTTCTCACAGGTCTCCTTCTCAGACTTACTGCTGGTACCGCTAACTTGCTTTCGAGCGCGTTTATGACATTTTTATG